TTTTCAGTTTATGTTGCCAAATTTGATAGGAGAGTTCAGTACTATTTTCTTGATTTTGATGTTTAAACGACTGATATGGTCGTAATATCTTTGTTTAAAAGTGTTTCCAGTCAGTCACAGATATTGTTTACGTTCATTCGTGTCGGGATTTGTAACTTCTGCCTTGTATATTATATATTCTTAGTTTGGCCTTCAACATTTAGTGGACATCATTCTTTGTTCCTACAGTTACATGGTTTAGATGTATGTTTGTCATACATAGTGATTTAAACATACCTCGGTGATTTATAAAAAATAAACCATAAAATAAAATAAAAAGCTTTAGATTATTAATAAATAAAAACGCTTTTATGAGGTACAAGCATCCAATTATATATTTGTGCTTTCACGACTTTCATTCTACCATTATATTGTATGGTAGTGAAACTCGACACTTCTATGCTCCAAAACGCTGATCACTTATTAGTTCATATATTTTTTGTCAAATTGTATATAGGATAATGATACAAATATATGTTAACAGTTTAAAGATGGGTTTCCTTGTTTTTAGTGTCAAATTAAGCAAACTATTTAATTAATTGGTGTATCTAATGAATTATCATGTATTCTTAATCATATCATTATGTTCTTATTGCATATGATTGTATAAATTTTAACCAATCGTAAATGTTCATGTTTGTACCGTCTGGATAAACAAAAAAGACTTTTTGACCTTTCTTAATCGGTCACTCATCCGAATTCTGCTGGTAATTCTCTTCTAATTTAGCTAATTATGAATTAATTATGGACAAACTGGTATTTATCCAATGAATTTCGTTCTTTGTAATTTAATAACATTATTAAACATTTACATTAGTTGAAACCATTAACAAAATTCACAGTTGGTTGTTCCCGGTACTAAAAGAGGGCAAATGGATTGAAAATAGATCCAAATTCCCAAATCCGAATTCGGTTATGTAGTTGTTGTGTTTTTTTTTATACCTGCGTAAAAAAACAATGACTGAAATGTTTTCATGAACGATTAATATTTGCGTCAAAGAATTAGATGACATATTGGAATATAATATCCAAGATATTAAAACAAATTGGGTAAACATCTGTTTTCTCACGATTCTTAAGACTTTCTGTCAATCATATGACGAAATGTACCGCCTATATTGTCAAATGGCGCCAAAATACAATGCATTGATTGACAGTTGAGTGTCTATTGAACACGTTCCACTAACGTTCCATAATTAGTTAAAATGGTGAGACATTGGAGGATTATTAAACATTTATTTTTTGTTACATCTCTGGCAAGACTAAGCTATAAATGTGATGGTCACAGACTGTTCTTTCCTGATTGAAATCTCCTCTTTAAATTAAACTGTCGGATTTAAATGCCGAGGCATGTCTTGATGTGTCTCTCATTGGACAACCCTGAAAAGCTTTTGACAGTCGAGTTTCTCAATCTACTTCCCATAGTTAGACTAGCTGGCTTTCTACAGATAGTAATGTCCATCTTCAATAATTGATGTTATGCACTGGTGATATAGAAATCGGTAACTAAAAATAGGGCTACATCTTCCAATGACTTCAGCAGTAGTAAACAGTGAACACAAACCCTTGAAGGATAGGCCTTCTTCAGCTGTTATATTTAATAGAAGACATAACATCATTTGTCTTTCCCAACAATGAATTACGCTCTACGGATTATCAATTTCCACAGTTTTTAGTTGGTCTTCCCCTTTTGTTGTTGTCACAATCTATACACTGGTAAAGCACCAGGTTGTTACAGTGGAACATGAAACATTGGATCCTATTTGCTGCAGACTATACACTTTATATTGGAATTTAATTTGAAAATTGAAAAACTGTTACTTTATAATATCCTTCAAAATTGTCATTATTGCACTTAGCTTGACTTGGTATATCTTCTACAATTTTAAATAGGGTTTTATTAGTTTTTACTTTGAGGAATAGTGGGAAGATTTCTGTCATCGCAGTGTAATAACTTTGAGTTAATAATAATATCTTAATAGAACGATTGACTTGAGAAAAATGCTTTAGGTTACTAATATTTCACTTTAATCCCAGTTTTGAAGATTTAATAGTTACAGAGAGTTTATATACATTGTAAATGCCATTGTTCTTAGTTTCATTATTAACAGCATCAAATTCCAGAAGCAGTATGAAATGGCAATTATACTGAGGGACTAAGGTTTAGAACGAATATTACACAAATATAAGATTATTTGCCCTGGATTAAAATTGACTTTTTATTTCAAGTGATAATACTGAATGTTTTTAAAAGACAAATTAGCTTGAAGGCCAGTGTTTCAAGTATTAATATTTTGCAGACAATATTTCATCAAAATACAAAATTGAATAGCAATTGGATTTGGAATTTAAACATCACGTCATTTAACTCGTAATCAAGTACTTTCTGTAAAGCGTAAAGATAACGTATTGACTTTTTATGGTGTTCTGGGGGTATACAAAAAAGAATATTAGAATTGCAGATTCAACAAAGTCTCTTTCTGCCAAACCTTGATTGTGGTAAATGTAATTTTTTTTCGAATAACGTATACAGAATATGCAAACGTGAGTTTATTCAACTTTATCTTTTTTTCGGTGGTTTCTCAACTAGTATTTTGTGAATAAGAGACACCACTGTCCTGCCAAAATTATGGTATTTCATACTACCAGTCGTGGTAGCCATCTTGGTGAAGAATACTAGAAGTTCGTTCAGACGACAGAAGTTAAGGCAGCTTAACTATCAACCGTTCGTACACAATAGTCCTTTTAACACGGTACTATCATCTTCAGAGTGCAAGTAACTAGCTCAAACGGGAAGTGAATGAGGACCTAATCCTCCAATAATTAGTCTATTAACGATCGCATTACACTAATGTCAGATCAACAATATATACATGATGAATGGTGAAAAAATAACAGCAAATTACCCGAACATGATGTTCTATCTCACAAATCAAGGCTGGATTATTATTAGGGTTAATACAAGGAAATAATGTCTTAAAACTCCATTAACATTGCCTTGTATCAGGTTGTAAATCAGATGCTATCAGTAGCACCAATATGTGTACCATTTTACAGCAGTCAGCAAGGACAAGAAAGTAAATGCTCTGTGTTGCTGTTTTGTGTAAGTTTTATGTTTAACAATCCGGTTTTTAAAGTGAACATCACCAGTCCTTCACGTTTTGTGAGAATAATATGTAGAACTGAATCTCATCAGAAGGCTGCAAGATTGACAATTCTAGAGTATCATCAGTTTTATTCGAAGTATTCTGTCATCGGCATGGTAGTAATGAAGACTTTGTACGACCATCTTAACCGATAATACTATTGCAACTATTGAAACAGTTGTTTCTGTTTTCATCATTGCCTACTTAATAAAAACACCCGTATAAGGACTCTTTATAAGCGGTTATGGCTATTTGCGGAATTAGATAAAACCAAACAATACACACTCTCTAAACGTGTTTCTTTGCTATTCCTAAACATGTTTTATTTGGTGAAAAAAGATCTTTTTCAGATTCCATAATTTGTGCTAATGGGAAATAAGAGCCTTTTCGTGATTCTGTTATATAAATTATTTACTTATTGATGATTCAACTGGCTTTGTATCGTTTAAGATGATGAGTGTCAGTCAGTGTATGAATCAAGTTGTTATGCTTGAAATTCATTTTCTGAACAGTAAATCAACAATAATAGAGGGTCGTTGTAAACTGGTCGACTAAATTAGTGTACGTATAACTGTATGAATGAAAGTGCACCATTGGTAAAAACATTCATTTGAATTGCTATGGCGTCTACAACACCCCTATAACCCCAAATAGAATCTGCTTCCAAGTAAAATTACAGTTATTGACTCTCAACCAATTTAACTCAATGAATTGTACATGATCTCAGATAATACATCTTTTACCAGTATAAATAACTTAAAAATATAAATAACATACAAATGATGTGCTAATTGTCTTCTTTATTTATTTTGACTTGATGCCTCGTATTCCAATAGCACAATTACCATAAATATGTCAGAATGTAGAAATGAAGTAATTTATTATCAACAGGTACATAGTGAATATAGACAATAAAAACATAAACAAATCAACATAATTAGCAAAATAACCAATAACCTTACCCCATTAAATGTATTATTAAAATTTATAAACCTATGATGGCAAATGTCTTTGATGTTGCAAGTTGATTATAAGTCAGTGATAACCTTCCATCTCTTGGCAGGTTCTTTATTCCGAGGTACAAGTGTACTCAGGTTCTTTAATCTGTGGTTGAAGTATTACCCATGTTCTTATTCTGAGGTACAAGTCTTACCTTTGAAGGACAGGTTTTAATGGATGGTTTTAAGAATGACTGTCTTGTAATATTTTATAAGTGCTGAAGTAAAACCATCTGCTACTGACAATTAGCAGTAAAAAAGTAATTTTAATAACATATTTTTAGAGTATTTTTTTTCGGTGTTTTGTATCGTTCAATACTACATATAGAATTTTTTAATGCAGAATTAGATGTTCCTAAGATTTTTGAAAATTCCTTGAACGTTTAAAAAAGTGACAGATAAAACATATATCTTCAATATTAAGTGGATTGCTATCTCGTGACAATGTAATAAAACCCATATCACATAGATTACAATCTAATTTAGAAAGTTATTTCATAACATCATAATGATTTTGACTATCCATGTGATAATTTTTCTAGCCACTGGCTATTATAGCATCAATATTTAGCTTATAACATATTCTTATAACAACTTCAGGGCAAATAAGACAATTGTTGTTTGCATATTGTATATAAGCTAATAATTATGATGATAGTGTTTCAATATATTGTTATTAGTTCTGGTTGATAGCGGCTATTGAAGCTAAACAATATTTCTGCACATCCAGTCATTTTATGTAGGAATTTTTGTTAAATATTTTAGTTATTACAGAAATGTAAAAAACACGTTAACCAAAAATAAGATTGTTGCAATTATGACAAGGTATGTCTTTCCTGGAAACACACATAATGTCCCCTTTGAATCCCTTTCAATGTTATACATGGTGATATCAGTGTCGTTAAAGTTTCAAAATGGTTGAATTGCCCTGCAATCGATTTAAACAATGTTTCATGGCGTTTTGTATTATCCAAGGAACGAACGAAGACAGCTTATTCCATTTGCCCTCCCGATTTATTACTTGCCCCACCCCAGAACAATCTAGTCTAGTCAATATAAACTCTTGTCAGACTGTTTATTATAAACAGTGAATACTTAATATAGTTTTATTCTTTGATGGACAGAATCCTATAAATCTGGTGACATCTCATCATAGGAAATAATAGATATTTCTGAAAACCTGACTATAAATTGACTATAGAAACTGCTTGTCAACTCACTTTCTTGGTTTCAATCTTGGAAGAAATATTATGTATTTGGTATATATATTTTCTTGTCAACATGGTGTTAATATAACACTAACAGACAATAATGGTAGGTGAAGTGTTAGGAAAGTCACAGTTTTCACAACAGAATTGTGACAGTCGTTATTATATTCTATTAATAATAATTTATTTTTTTGTTTGTTTGAAACACCTCATTTAACTGTCTATCGCTTTTTATTCTTGGTTTATGAAAGGAATAATATAAATTCTGTACCCAACATCTGATCTAAGACACAAGACATAATGTGTAATTGTGTAATTGTATTCAGTATACAAGACCGGACGTAGGAACACATAAATACCATCTTCTTCTTATTCATAGAAGATAATAACACTTTTTTTTCTCTTATGAAATCTGTCTGATAATCTGATGGAGCCGTGATGAAATGTAAAGAACAATTTCTTCTGTTATCTTCGGTCGCCCCAGACTCTGGTTCAATTTTGTTTACTTATGGAATTATAAGCAACGGACTTTTAAAGCAACTTAGTACGTAATAGTCCTTTGTTTAAACTACATATAAGTTGACAATACGTTATACATACGTGCAATTCGTTATGATTACGCCAAGAATTTAAAACAAGCTACATCGATAGTTCAAATAAAGACATTGTTCAATATTTACGAAAAGCATGGTAAAGAATCAAACTGAATGTTAAACGCTCAAATTCGTATATAATGTTTCGAAGCTAAGCAAATTATGCAAATACTCATTTACATAGAAACAGAAGACGTTTTTAGAACAATGAAGGTCAAATGTAATAAGTCTTTGGTCTGTGGCTTATCAGGAAAAGAAAGAAGCAAGTTATAAGAAGACAAATTAAAAATTAAAATAGGGCTTCTGGAATACCAGGTAATTTAATAAATAACATTTAAAATCAAGAAAAAAGTGGCTGCATTAAATATATTACTATTCATGATTTTTTATAAAGCTTTTGCTCGCAACACTAACAACAATTAAAACATTAATTTAAAATAAATTCAAGCGGAACTAGTAAGCTCAAATAAACGATATAAATTGTGCTTCAGGAGAGTATTGAAATTATATAGAAATAATCACAGTAACTAATTCACTTTCAGTTAACATGTTGAAGAAACTTTTTGTTACGCTACTGGTGCCGATTGTATTAGTCGAGGTATTGGGAATTTGTCAAGACAAATCGGGTACGTCATTTTGCAGTGTTTGTTTTTGATAAAAAAGAAACGTTACGCAAAAAGCATATGTAAGCATAGACTATTCTAACGTTCATTAATACCGATCACATTTAAAGGATACAAGACTGTCCGAAAATATTCTAATTTTCAATGATAATATCTTTTGTTTGCATCATGATCTGAATTTTTTATGCAAAAATACGACAACCCACAAAAATTAGAAGTTATTGACATCGATAAAAACGTGATAATATAACATTACGACATGAGAAATGAAGTTTTAAGTTCCCATGTGTTCGTTTACTCACATACAAATATTATAGAAATGAGTCGTCCAATTTACTACTTTGACGGTGTACAGATTCTGCTTGTTTCAGTTGATTTTCTCTGTAGCACATAAATGCAATGATTTTGTTCAACTACGGATAAATTTGTTGCTTTCAGTCAGTTGGAAAGAGTATGTAGAAGCATACGGCCTATTTACGATTCTGAAAATCTTCATTACAGTCGGATAATCGAGGATGCCTCAAATGGATTTACTGGCCGATTCAAAATCAATGGGTAAGCTTTAAAACATTTGTCTTTGGAATTAAGATGGAACACCAAGCATGTAAGGTCGTGTTAAATATAATATGTAGGTAGATTCGTTGACGTTATTTGAGATTATTAAACAATTCTTTGTATTCCAGAAGACCTTTATCCTATTTGACCGGTACACAATCCGTGTTATTCTGAACTGACAATACTACTTGCTGTATCTGGTATTCTGTTTTCAATTATTGACAAATATTTTTATGAGTATTATCTCGTACTCAATATAAAGATTGAAATAGATAAGGTATCCAGTAACCAAACCCGTATGCCAACTTGCCTGACAATTTATCATTGATTTTGAAAATTTCTATTTTTTGTTCATTTTCAAGGAAGGTACATAATCTACCAGTGACATCTACAGGAGTATTTCTGTTCACTACCGATACAATACCATATTGGTTTTCGTCATCCGCAATGATATTAGTCCACAATTATTTTGCTGGAAGTCCATTTAAAGTATGTTTTAGATTCCGGGTGTTTTTTTGATAATATTTTAAAAGAGACCACTTTTCATCATATTTTTTCTTAAATATTAATAGCCTAACCATATAAAGGTACTCCCAAACCATGGCGATTACCAGTTCCGTATCGTTGCGAATAATGAAAGTGGTCATGAGGTCTGAACGCTACTTTCATGAGATAGGCGTTCGAAAATATTGACAGGTATTCTAATGATCGCTATGGTGTAAGCTCCACACTTGTATAGGCCGAATTCACAAAACAGAGCATTTGCTTTTTCTGGGCTTTACCTTACTTTTGCGTTCATAAAACCTAAGAATTTGCTTCCGTGAAAATCAAGAAAAGGTAAATGCTGGATATTTAAGATCTTGCTTAAGAATCAACAAATGCATAAGCACATGTCCTTGCCTTAGTAGAAGAAACATATTCTGTCGGATTTGCAAGCTCCTAAATACCAAATTGTCATTTTTCACAATTACTTCGACTGTTATCTCTGTGTTTATTTATCTCAGGGAACATTCTAAGGCGCTCAAGGAGCGTATAAACTTTTCAAGAATTGATATATGACAGACTGACAAATATCTGAAAAAAAATATTGAACAGAGTAACGGTTATCACAGTCCAGTACATTTGTTTTCACTGTGCTGGTCGCAATTCCTCAATTCGCATGCAGTGTCTTCTTTCTCATCAATCATTGAGCAAAATTAAAAGCTGCAACGCGTAGCAAACGATTATTTATAGGATATATAGAAATTACTTTTAATTCTGCTATTTCTAAATGCTCCACCTTATAAGCTGATGCTATGGTTTATGAATTCGGCCCAATGTTTTGAAGGGTTGCATAAACAATTACATAGTGTAATTGCGACCTGTGGGTTGAGATTTGCTGTACATCAACGCAGGTACAACGTTGCAGGTGTGGTGATCATGACTTAACAGTTTTAATCAGTGGCTTTCCTCTACATAGCTGTACTATTCAATGTTTATTTACAGGTGTCAACATTACATAAAAATGGCTCTATAACTGTACATTATCTTGGATATAAGTTTGATCCCTTGTGTAAAAACCTGAACTGTCGACATGAAGATATAGTTTATGTCGGTGTTATTCAGAAGTTAGAGTTGGTTGACCCGAACGCATGGGGCTCGTTTCAGACAGTCATGGTCCCGTATGGCGAAGGTTCGTTCTGAGTTCCCAATAACTTATTGTTCCATGGGGGTTATTCTGAATTATAAATAGCGTTAGCAGGAATAACCTAATTTAGAGTAACAAAACTTTTTTAGTATCCCTAAACTCTGTTTAGCATAACATTTTCATTCAATAATATCAGAATATATTTCAACTCGAAACCTTGTACAGTATGTATGTTTTATAAAATACGCAAGTTTATTGAAATAATAAAGTATTTCTTTACAATTTCAGGAATACCGGGAGCACGACAGAAGATACCTGGAAATCTAGTATGTAGAATTGATGAAGAACTTTGAGGTGTTCTTGTTGAAATGAATTTTCATTCAAAATAAAATGATAAAATCTATAAAAACTCGTGGGGTAAAAGCTTCTCTGCCAGGATATAGCCAACAAGACGCTATAATGCGAAATGTATAGTATTTAGTCTATGCTTCTTTATATCATTTTATATACATGTATATATTGAATTTCGTAAAGGGATAAAAAAATATTGAGATTAATGTCCAACTTGTCTGCTTGTGTAACTTGTCTGCTTGTCTGTTTAGTGGCCTCTTTTTCAAATTTCAAATCGTCAGAAAATCTTTAATGTTCACGGCCTTTACTGCCCAATTTGAACTGGGCAGAACAACATCCAACATCCAAAACGAAAAACTGTATACACAAATGGGGTCCACAAAAGACAGCCTTCAGATTGAGAAATCCTTCTGTCACCCTCATCAAAACTCATGAATTCATGCTTCTCAACATCTGAACATGACTTTTGTATTCAGATTACAATGAATCTGGTCCCGAATACATAGATAAATACAATAATGATACAAAAATATTTTCACTCTTAAAATAGTGCTTAACAGATCAGATCAATTTTAGAGCGATATAGAAAAAGATAGATTCAAATGTATGTATGAAATGTTAATGACGAAAAGTGTAAATATAGAACTAAATTATTTTTTGTATACCAAGATTTATAAAAAAAGAAATAACTGTGTAATTGTGAAAAGCGTTCAAAAAACATTGCTGATTTCCGCTCTGTGTATTGGAATATATTTATTTGCCGTTATTAATAGTGCGATAATAAAAAGAAAATGAGAAGTGAATCACAATTTTAATACATTTCAATATTTTTGGTCTCTGATGTTTTATGGAATACCATTAACTCCATCAAATTGACATCTGAGTTTTGAATCAGATGTCCTCGTCTGTGTTCCTTGTACACCTGCACCTATAAAATGTGAAATATTGAGTTATCATTTTAATTGAATATAATTTTGACACATTGTGTCAGTAGAGTTAAGCGAATAGGAAAATAATATCATTCGTTAAGTTATTGGTAGACAAAGTAATTTTGTTAAATACTAAGTGGCATAACGTGCAAAAGCTGTGTTTATTGCACCTTCATTCGCTTTGGGTTATCTTATCGATTAGTTTGCATGGGACAATTGATTATTGTGAACAAAACCATAACGCACCCGCAGGGTACGGAGCAAGGACAGCCGTAAACATGCTCCATCCACTTGGGTCAACTAACTCTTTCTTCAGTGTAGCCGTCTCATCCAATACAATTTCATGTTGACAGGTTATGTTTAGACACAAGGGATGGAATTTATTTCCAAGATACTGCACAGTAATAACACCATTTGGATGGAACTTTGATATCTGTAAGTAGTAGAACGTGATAGAAGTATCTATGAATCAATAATTAACTGGGGAAAAACGTACCAAGGGAAGATTTAGCAAGAGAAATGGCAAAGGCGAAAATGATAGTCCGGGGCTCACATGCTCAAAGTTTAATAGAGATCTGAAGTAAATGAATATCAACATTTTTGGTAGCATTTTCATACATTTCTTAATACATACTTTTATTGGACTCCCATAAGCGTAATGGTAGATGATCATCATTGATTTTGTTGAAAACCAGTAGGGTATTGTATCGCTAGTGTACAGAAATACTGCTGTAGCTGCCGCTGGTACGTCATATGCTATCCTTTAAAATATACACAAGAAAACACATTAGGCAAAATATTATACATATGAGATAATTGTAAATAGCAGTAAGAACAAGCACAGAAAGTAACCAACAAAAGTAAAAGTAAGCGAAGGGGGGGTTCATTAGAATCCGACAGTTTGCGAAAAATCCCTTTTAAATCGGCGTATCATGTTATGCTGTAAATCATAGGGTCGGTATTAAGGCCATTTCTGAAGTGAAATCATGTAAGTCTATAATGAATTTGAAATTAAACTGTAATTGAATGACCAATTTACCATTAAATATAGATCATATAAGTGAGATTCTATAGTACAGCCGGTTAAAGCGCTGTTTCATGTATGTGCTGGCTTCAATTCGCCATCGGCCTGTGATAGTTTGATGACCTTGAATAAGTACTCTTCCAGTCGACCCAGCTGTACATGGTTACGGCTATCCAGGAAAGATCAATGCCAAGAGGTTTGGTCAAGGACCAGCTGGTAGAAAGGATTCTTCACTGTGAACCTTGTAAAATACAGTTGTTTCGTTCTTTCTTATATTTCAACACAACCTGATTCATTTGGCTTTCCTTGCAAAGAAATTATTTTCAGGCTTACCTACCCATTGATCACGTAATTACCAGTGAATCCATTCGAAACGTCTTCGTTCCTTCTTATATAGAAACGATTTCCAGTGAAGATATTGATGTCGTACGCTTTCTGATATTCCCTCCACCTTTCTGAAGCAGATTGTGTCAGATTAGATTGTGTTGAAGGGATAGTCATACCATTTGTGGTCCTTAGTTTATAGCATTTTATGATTACATATAATAGGGGAGCTAGATTTTTATGCCCGGTGTGTAGTTAATATTCATAGGTAATCCGAAAGGTCTTTCTTAAGTGTCGATCCCTAGTAATTAGCAGTACTATACCCATGAAAAAGGGAATTTTGTGGAGCAACCTTAATAGTGTCCAAAATCACTGCTTTAAGTTAATCTACGTTTCTATTTCTAATTAAAGTTAGACCAAACTATCGTTCCGTTTTTTAAAACGTTTATTTTTAATTTAGCTACTTCGGTTAGGGTCTAAAAATGAGCCCCCTGAACATTCGTCAGTTTGATTATACCGCCAGCCAATCAAATGTCTGCCCTAGGTAACGCTGGGATTTTATGATGAGATTAAAAGGTCTATTCGAGAAGCACTAGACACTGACACGGGGTCGTATTTCGACCCTAACTTTACTGACTAAAGAAAAGACAAAAGTTAATAAAAACGGGACGGAAGTTTGATACAATTTTAATTAGCATGTCCATACATAATAACTTATAGAAATCAATCCACGAGTTTAACAGTCCAAATTAATTTGTTATAGATAGCAAATTTGATAAATTGACAAAAAAAATTTGTTGTCAGTAAAATGAAAAGCTTGGCTTTGTAACCCACGCTATTGTCACCTGTATATTGAGCGCCATATTGTTACTGTATAAAGTATGTAACGTAATACATTATGTTTTGTAATTACATACCGGATTGGTCTTGACATGATTCCAACACCTCAACTAACATACAACTAACCACCAGTGTCCCAAAAATACAGAATATCTTCATGTTGAAAGCTTGGAATTTGATCTATAGTGTGACAGATGAAATGGTTTATATGTGAATAGCTCTACTGAAACACTGTGTATATAATGCAAATTACTGAGTAACATCTGACGCTAAATGAAATACATGTACACTGTTTTAACGCCTACAAAAAATGTGCAGAAGGTAAAAAAAATCATACATGGAATACCTGCAACATACTGCTCTGGGATCTCACGATTCAAGAAGTCCATACCAGTCCAATATTCAGTTCGCAATTAAATATTTGAATACTATAGCTAGATTATACCAAAATTAAACATTTGAACTGTACAGTGTAGTTATTTATATATCTGAAAATGGTGGCAATAAAGAAAAACTTTTTCGATAGTATTTAGGTTGTATTGCGCCATATTTTTATTCTTCTAGACACCTTATACCACTTTTCATTTAGAAATACCTCCTCACTTATGATTGTAATACTTCCTCATGTGAAACTGCTACAATATAGCTTTGGATGTCTGGTTTTGTTTTGACTAGACATTACTACAGTCCAGTGGTTCCTACCTCTGACAGACTTGTACATTATGGTACTCAATTCGGGTTCTCTAATATACCGTTAAGATGTTGGTTATACGAAACATCAGAATTTAATGAAAGTTTGTTTAAGAGTACAGACAATGTTTTATAGTTTTTCTGCATGAGATAGCCTTTCTGGACACATTTCCACTGGGTGCCATTTGCTAACTAAAAAAAACAGGTGGTGTTGACGAACTCTAAAACCTGACTTTCACATTTACGAATATTGCTCAGATTTTTATTTCATTTGAGAGTTGAAACATTTGATATACCTGAAACATTTCCGTTAACATGCCAACAATGCGAGAGAAAACATCTGCATATTCAATTTTCAGTTATTCTTCCTTGCAACAGCTTGTCCCTTTCAGGATACTTTCAAAATGGCGATATTGCTATTTTCTTGGTCTGAGATCCCAGTCTCCACAAAGCACTCTTTCGAATTTTTAGGCTGTTGAAAAGCCACCATTAGTATGTTGGATAAAACATATTTCAAATGGTCATCTTTTGGGGTATATCTTGTAAATAATGCCCAGATCAAATTTATGTAGGTGAAACACTACATGAATGGTCATCGGAAAGTGTCTCTGAAATATTATTCATATTGATTATTATGAACATCAATTGATAAATTAAATACATAAGCTGTTCCTGTGTGCAGTAAGAAAGTTAATGGACATTATTCTTGGTAACCCCAAACGTTAGAGGGTTATGATGTGTCAACGGTTGTAGTTACGTCTTTATTTTCCAAATAATTTCAACTGATGACGACGAATTCCCGTTGAATGGTAAATGGAATACTTTAGTCACTCATAATTCGTACATTACATGTTGGCTTGTGGATAGATTCTTCTATATACTCTCTATTACATTTTTGTTTTTACTCCTCATAGGAGTTCAAATATTCATTATCATTTCTTGACAACTGCGTGGGCGTATATCCACATTTAAGATGGAAGTATATTGCCGTTGAAACATTAGACGCTATATTTTTTATTTAAGTGTATTTAATAATATAAAAAAATGGTTTTCAAATAACTTTATCTATTTTCTAGTTAAAACTATGCCTCTATGTTGAGCACTGTATACTTGTAAAATAAAGCGTGTTATTATGATATAAAATAAAAAAAAAAATCTAAAATTTTAGCATACAAATCTTTTGGAAGGAACGAAA